GAGTAAGGGGAGTCAATTAGTCAGTGATAAACTAGGAAATTACAAACCCTGTTACAGAATGTATGAGGCAGAGCAAGGCACATCGAAGAACCACTCCAACTAAAATGCCATGGCCTCGAAAAGTCAGTAATCTCTGTCTCCTCCAATTTTCTCTTCAAACCTCATTATATTGGTGGTTGAGCAACTTTTGGGGATTTGTGTTAGGCTATTTCGGAACAGAGCATTTTATCGTTACTGCAAAATAACTCTTTCTATTACTGTCGACATTTCTACTTTCCTCAGTAAATTTGCTTTTGACGTTAGCGAAGGTTTTCGGTAATGTAATTTCGGAGCTTGAGAAATAACTTTACTAAAAGTACTTAAAACATCAGTTAGTTTTACTGCTACTTGACTACTCACTCTACGCTACCTTTATACTTCGTTTTTTATCTCTGTTTCCTGCTTGCACTGTGGATTAGCTACATTTTCGTCCGGTAATAAATGAATAGCCTTATGAACTGCCACATTACTCTGATGTTTACAACGTTTAATGAACTTTGGATGGCTGTTATATTACCAACAATTATTTACCTGCCGTTGGAGAGCCAAACAGGCCGGCGATGCCATAAAAAATCAGTGATATTCCGAAAGCATTCGTCAACTTCTCGATGCCAAGCAGATTCACACAGACTATGGTTCGCAATGCGTAAAACGAGGCTAAAGCAATGTACGAACAAGTTGTTCAGTTAGCAAGTCTCGATGGCCACTTAGCATTACGGGTAACAGTTATTACGATCTCATAAAACTTTTATACCCGCTCTTGAGTGTGGCCCCGGAAATTGGATTGGATTTATTTCCCAACTGTGCATTCGTGGTTCAAGGGTGATTAGACCTGGGCGCCATGGCTTTTACAAATGAACACATTAACGTTTTACAGCACTGTAAATAATTTCTCATTTCGGCTTTTCCGTCGACCTGTTCTACATGTTTCAACTGAAATCACAACCGGATCCTGGTTAATGATCTCTTTGAAATAGCGTTCAATTAAATTCGACCACGTGTCTGTCACTGGTTCGGAAAGTCTCAATGAAATTTATGGTTTTGAACAAGGCTGGGTGAGCAGCTTATGTTTTGACTGATATAAAGTTATACCCGTTGTAATAACTTTATATATGAGTCATCGCATTTTCGGCAGCACTTAGGTAAGACAGGTGTTTTACACTCAAGCTCATACCTTATGAAGCTCTTAGGTTGAACAGTCGTGTACGTTGCTGGCAACACAAACGTTCATGATTGTGCCATAAATACCGCGTCTTATTTAACTCAGCGTTGGTTGTGCCTGAGTACCCTCAAAACACCCTCAAATTTTTAGAAAGCGAGGCTCCGGTGCAACGTTACCGTATAAACCTGTTTTATCAGTTGCATGGGTCATTCTCTACGGTGATATTTATGCACACTAGCTCTAGTTGATTTCCAATCAATACGTATGATACACAGTCAGATTCGAACAGCAACACGTTTTATGATTTACAGCAAAATGGTACAGCACACGTTCAGCCTAGACCTGTAAAAGATCGCCGTTTATACTCACTAATAACTCGACCTAGCACTTTGCCTAAATAGTTGTCACTTGTCACCATTCATTAAAGTATTAAGTGTACGTATGGAGGGGCTATACTTGTAAATAGTCTAAAAAGACGCCAGTTATACAGCGCACCTATAAGAGAACTAATCTGAACAACTGTAATCCATAACAGTATATGGGAGAATATCTGATATTTACTCCCGTAGGATTTTTGCATTTACTGTAAAGAGACAATATTTGAGTTCTAAAAATATTCTTCTGTCTTATTTAACATATTTTCTTTGTCATGTTTCGAGACGTGCTGCACATCGAACTTTCATATCTGCGATTATTACAAGCAGCACTTGAGCGGCTCACCGCACTCCACGTTCTCATCCTCATTCATGAGCCCCATTTTGTTTTCCAACGCATCGAAGCTTCGACCTGTTGATTATTATTAAATCTCTTCCATGTACTAGACTAACAAATCTTTGGAATAGCAGCCTCCCCTTTAACCGCACTATTGCGCTTTATTCTTTTGGTCCCCCCTTTCACTGTTTCTAAATGCTTATATGCAAGCCAAGGCTCCATAAGATTTGAGCAGCTGCAATGCGTATATGCCATGGGCCCCGCCAACTTGATTCGAACACTTGCTGAGTTAAGTCGAGTAATTTCCGTTCTAGCATCAGCTGAAATGCTACAAAGTGGTGCTATTTATGTGTGCATGAATGACCTAACAATTCATTATTGTATTGTTCTGTCAATTATAATGATACGGTATGATATTCACAAGAATACTAGGAAGCCGTGCCCCTTCGGAAGGATCCCAAGGAATCTAGAAACTACGTAACGGTACAAATGTGTTGTCATAGTCACTTTGAGGAGCCGGATACTACTTTTGCCGCCAGTACCAAAAATGCATCTGTTGCCAGTCGTCCCAAAGTTTAAAAATTGTATACTTTTCTTAAACTATGTGAGGAAAGCTAGAATATAATACAGAGCCCATTACGATAAGCCCTCTGAAAAGAAGATGAAACTGCTCCATTCTCTGGATTCCACGGTACTCTTGCTTCTTGTGGCCTAGGAATTATTGCCGTTTGCTATGGCTCGAAGGCATTGTAGCACCCATATTGCACTCACTGTTCATGTGTGAGTTGCTGTACTAACACCTACCCTAGAAAGCTCACTGCTTCTTTTATGGATGAAGAACTTCGTGGTTCAAAACTTGTCTCCTGATAGGTGATGCTTCTTGTAATTCAGATGGGCCAAATTCATTTTGGGACATTTGCATGCACATATGAATGGTCACTGCCACCGTGGCTTGCTATTTTTGCCTACATATAAAATGACCGTAATGTGTTTCTAAATATAGCCCGGTCTCACCTCACCTGTTCAGAAATGCCCTGAGGTCTGCGCGTAGCGTCAAAGCATATCTAAAACATCCATACCTAAAGCCAGCCCGAAGAAGGCGCAATAGAGAATCAGTAGCCAGTACAACTTCGCGAATGGCAGAAGGACAGTTGCGATGCCGGCCAGCAGCACTGTCACGTTCTGTACCGAGAGAGGGTCGATATTTGGTTTATCGGAAATATAGCCGCACGACACCCGGCCGGCGATGTTCACGGCTCCGATGTAGGTGATCAGCAGCGTCGTTTCCTTTTCAGCGTAACCGAGACTCATGGCTTGTGGAGGCAAGTAGATGAACGGTATCATCGAGGCAAAGCATACCAGTCCACTCTGCAGTACAAAAGCGATGTACGTCGGACTCAAAAGCAGGCTTGTGTCCAGTAGGTCGGCCAAAGTGCGCTTTAAGGTTTCCCATAAGTTTTCTGGTTCAACTGTCACATGTTCCATTACGCTGGTCGACACTTCAGCAGGCTCCGTCGTCGTCTTCCCAGGCACAGTCATTTTATCCAAAGTGGAAATACTTGCCATTGACAGAAAAATGTCTTTACGGTTCAGAGGACGATTGATTTTCGTTATGCTATGTCTCGTGATTCTCTTCACGTTCTTCATACGGTTCATGATCGTCTCCTGAAAGTTTTAGCCTCATTTTAAAGCTGTATTCAAAAACTGACATTCCCTCATTGTTGAACGTAATTCATTCGATTACAGTTGGCTCATTTTCGATTTCTAGTAATTTCGATAATTAGTAATTCGAAAATTACAGTTGGATCAATTACACCGTAAAAATGTCTGTCTAATTTCTGGCTGCAGAAAAATCACCCAATATTTTAACGACATGCGTTTGAATGCTATGTCATGCTACGTCATGCAAATAAAAACCTAGTTTAACTGTTATTACCCCAGTAAAGCACTTTTCAAGCGTCATGTCAGGCGCTTACATTGTCTAAGAGTCATTGCAGTCGCATATTGCCAAAAAAATAAATTATCTTATTTGATGGACGTATAATAAACATGAACATTAAATGATATCCAGTGGGTGCGTTTTTAACAAACAATCTAATATAGTAATAAAGAAATAACAAATAAGATAAGTCAAATGGGACAAAAAATGGCCTATCTAAACTTACAAAAGCCCAAAGGCAGCAGCTTGTGGAACAGTCAGAGTGCCGCAAAAAATTGCGGGGATGACAATTTTATATTAGGCCATAGCCAACTGGCTATGCTTAGCCCCTTGCTGCTGAAAACATGTCCTCTGTGAGAGAAAATATTAAATATGAATAGTAATAAATCTTATGGGATGCCCTTTTGTGATGGCCGCCGTGACGTAGCGATGGGACTTGTGTCCTCAGTGACTCTCGAAGCTATGTCACTTGAAGTTTTGACTTCTGGTTTGGAACGTTTGAAGAGACTGACCAGACTAAGTGCTATTTACCATGTACCCATTATAATGAATCCCAATGAAAATGTCGAAACGCTCCACGCTCAAGTTGTCAATAGCCGCAGGCGTACGGTAAATGGGCGAATAAAACCTGTTTCGCTTCTTTCTGCACATCAGGCCGCAGCAAAGCAGCGACAGATGCGTATGCAGGGATCGAGAAATGAGTGCGATGCAGTAAGGGTGGGCCATTATATCGCAGCAAAGCAAAATAGGGCTTCTCAGAAAAGAATGCTGGAAGAATGGAGCAGGGTCATAAAATTCATTATGGTATCATATAGCAGAGTGAATGTGTTACTTGCTTGCTAAACCATGTTTTTGGTTTCGGTCATTGTGGTCACCGAGAATTTTTGTAGCTGCGAGTGAAATCTTCTGAATGTTTTATTGACCTACGTCAGTTCTTCCTTCTCCTCTCTTTGTTTTTTGATATTTTCTCTGTATCCAGCAAAACCAAATTTTCATTCTTCACTGTGTTACTGAAGACATGCTACAGGCTCTGATCCTCGCCGGTGTCTGCCTCATTGAATTGTGTTTGAATTACCAGTTGCATAATGACCTTCTGAACGTCATTCACGTCATCTCAAGAACAACCGAGATTATAGACAATCACTGGCAATGGATTTCTCCAAAACTCACCGGGTCCGCGATACATTGAGCAGATTTGTTTAAGTTAAGTATCTTGGGAAGTTCTTTCGCCGGAGAGGCAAATATAAGTTGTGCTCCTCATGGCTGTCGTCGAAGATGATTTTCTCTCTTTCTCTAAAATCTTATTTCTCTAAAATCTCTAAAATTTTCTCTAAAATTAAATGACAATATTTCGGCGGAGAAGCGTCAGTCGTCTACATCTAAAGACAGAAATTTTTCAGTCGAAATGTTGTCAAATAGCTATTAAAATAAATCGTAGTCTGCAACAGCCGTGGAGAAGTTTAAGTTTATTCAAAACAGGCAAAAAGTTTTCTACTCATCACGAAGCGATAATTTTTATAACACTGCTTTCAAGATTAAAGGATTTTCCACCGTAATCTTCGCTGAAGTCAAAATAAAGTTTGCAGATGACAAACCAGTTTTAAATCTGTGCACAAAATGTAACCCAGATGTTCTGGGGAAGCTATATTTTTGTAGATTTCTAATTCCGCCGGCAGTTGAAACATTTCAGTTTCTGATACCGGATTTACGAGGTGCAGGCTGGTACCGCTCCTTGCTTCTTCTAGTCGCATAGGGGAACGATTTATGCAGGCCGTCCCCCCGGCGTGGGTTGAGCGCAGAGCCACTTCACAGAATTGTCCTGAACACAGGCTGCACGTTCGATCACTATCAGAGGTTGTCACTCTTCACCGGCAAACACGAGGAAAATAATGACCTCAGTGTTCTTAGTTTACTACCTCCCTGTAGCTTACTAATTCCGCCAAGGCGACTAGCTGTAAAGTTGCCAAGCCCTCCTTCTCAGAAATAGACATGATTAGATTTTTGGCAAAATTGGTCAGATATTTAAGGTCAATTTCGAGAAAAGCGCGGCCATCGACTGTCTATTAATTGCCCTACGGATATGCTGGTATGAGATTTATGTGTTGCTCAAACACGTCATTATTCATTCCATTTGAAAGATGCAATCCTGCCCTGCATACAGTGCATTGCATGCGCTCTGTTACCGTGGAGCAGCGTCATTCCTAAATGGTCCCCCCTTGACGATCAGAAGCAAAGAATCGACGCGTTTACACCGAGTGAACGAATGTGTATAGTTCGAAACTGGCATGCTTTGCTAAGGACACAGTTTGTAAATCGCGGCGAAAGACGCTATGAGAATTTTACGATCTGGACCGCACCAAGGAGTCCTCTTTCAGATGCACAATAATTGATTAAGGGATATTATAGCTACGGAGAGTTCTAGTCTGTGTTGCTAGCGATTCATTGTCAATTCGAACTAACCGGAGGAAGCGAACATTTCCTGAACAGCATCGGTGGCATCGAATCCAACGAAACATCGTCATCGACTCTCTCGCTGAACCACCTCTGTCTGCTGAAGCGATCCCTCTTCATACTGCGCACGGATGAGTTCTCCAAGGTGAACAGGTCGGACATTGCGTCGCTGGTGATCGACGACGAACGGCTTCTGGCCGAATCGTCCTCGACGGGCTTCGGCCTGCACAGGTCTTCTTCGGCCGATTGCATATGCTGAGCCAACGTTTGCTCGAAGCTGTCCTGTTGTGCCTTGGTCGGCTTCAGCGGACGATACAGTGCGCAGCAGACGGCGCAGTTCAGAATAATGCCTGTCAAAATTAGCGTTGTATCCTGCCACATGTACTTTTCGTTCAGGAACAGTAGCAGCGGACCCAACGCCATGGTTCCCAAGCCGGAGCCGCAAACCGCGATCCCGGTCGCCAGAGCTCGTCTTTTGTCAAAGTAGTAACTGACAACGACGACCGACGACAGGTACAAAAATCCAAAGCCAAGACCTACGGAAAGGAACTGTTATGTTTGTTTTATGGCAAAACAGAATGAATTATGATATGCTGAACAATACTGAGCCTCATATAGAAATAATGCTTTTGAAGAATGCTGTTTACCGCAGGATGTCTGAGAAGGCTTGATCAGGACTCATACGTTTACACATTTTGCTGTTAAACCTGAATGGACAAAACAACACTGTAAGTCATAGATTATACCAAGAGGATTAAGAATCATTAAACTTTAAACGCAATGCAATAAATGCAATTTTGAGGCGATTTTTAAAATTTCAAGCCCAACTTAAATATTCCCTCATCTACTGCCGGTTTCTTTTGCAGGAGATTCATCCTATCTATCTCCTCTGCACCCATCCGCGAAACGGCTAGCAAATCGCGGAACTGTCAACATTGCGAGCAGCATCGAGTTCTCATGAGAGTAAGTGGTAGATGCGACTGTGCTTTCTCTGGAAGGAGCGCCTTAGGCTACAATCTTCCTCTACCCACAACAGTGTCAACTAAGATCAACACAAGCGTAAATCGAAAATAAATTGAAATTGAAATAAATTGAAAAACAGAGGTACCGTAAATTTGGCTGACTGACTATGCCGTTTGGATGGAAAACGTGTAAACGTTATTATGCCTTGCTGAAACATCTGTCTACAAGATGAATCTGCCAGCATTGCCAGTCGCATGTAAATCCGTCTTTGTTAAAACCATACTTTCCTTTCAATAGAGATAGCGATTCTATATATCTATGAATAAGCGTTGCATCTCATCCCAACGATGACGTTGACCTGAGCATCAGAGATTGCTGAATGATTAAAAACATTCTAATATTGTCCTCTGTTGTAAAATGATTATTAAAATTCTTAATTTATGTGAAAAGTTCTTCATTACCAAACCATTTAAGGTGTTTACTCTGAACATAAATTTTGTTAAATAAGATTCCGACGTTTCTCCTTGAGCTGAATCCATCTTCCCATTGCCTTGATTCTGATTTGACTCGATCCTGAACGTCGAAAGTTTGTCT